AGCGTTTCCTCCAGAGCACCCCCTCCGGGGACTTGGCAACAGAGGAAACGCTCTCAAAAACCTCCGGCCAGAGGGGCGACCTGAGGGACGTCATTTAGGCTAGGAGGGCTTCGGATAAGACGTCCTAGCCACGGCAGGACTTCAGAGGGCTGCCCCCTCCGCAGTGAGGCAACCGAGGTTGTTCTCACAGCGGGGCCCTCTAGGAAAAGATGCATGACCGCCGTTAGCAGCGTTTCGGGCCGCATCAATTTCTAGCGAGAAAACGATTTTAAAACATCGGTTATGGTCGCAGGGACCGGATCGACTACAGCCTGCCAGTATTCAGCTTCAGGTAGTCGAAAAAGATACTCTGAAGACACCAGAGGCCAGCCTCGAGAGGCAGGTACCCTCAGTAGATTTTGTAGAGGGATGGTATCATCTTCCCAACATATCTGCATGGGTCCTGCAGATAATACGAGCTGGGTACAGACTGCAGTTCGCGCACCGCCCCCCCCCCCAAGTTTTCTGGGGTGGTGCACACTACGGTGGTCCCAGAGCAGGCTCAGGTGCTGGAACAAGAAGTACAGACTCTACTGTTGAAAGGAGCCATAGAACGTGTTCTTCTGGTAGACAGGGAGTCCGGGTTTTACAGCCGGTACTTTATAGTTCCAAAAAAGGGTGGGGGTTAAGGCCAATTTTGGATCTCAGGGTGTTGAACCGGTCTCTGAGGAGGTTCAAGTTCAAATTGTTGACCATCCCAACAATCGTGAGTCAAATCAGGTCCGAGGACTGGGTTGTCACGATAGATCTGAAAGACGCCTATTTTCACATCTCCATCCTTCCATGTCACAGGAGATATCTGAGGTTCGCTTTCGGGGGCGAAGCATACCAATATCGGCTCCTTCCGTTCGGCCTAGCACTCTCTCCCCGCACATTCACCAAGTGTATGGACGTAGCCCTTGCTCCACTGAGACTTCAAGGGATTCGGATATTGAATTATCTCGACGACTGGCTTATCCTGGCTCAGTCTCGGGAGATGGCAGTTGAACCACTAGACCACTTGGCACTAGAACCATCCCAGACTACGACTTTTTTGGGAGTCGTGTGGAACTCGACTACAATGCAGGCACGAATGTCTCCCGCACGTATCGAGTCAATTCTGGCGATGGTATCCAGGGTGAAGCTGGGCCAAGCCATCACTGTGAAACACTTTCAAAGGATGCTGGGCCTCATGGCAGCGGTATCCAACATTATTCCTCTGGGCCTCCTTCACATAAGGCCCCTCCAGTGGTGGTTGAAAACCAAGAGGTTCTCCCCCAAAGGGAATCCGTTTCGTATGATCAGAGTAACGCGCAGGTGCCTTCATTCTCTGCAAATATGGAAGAAACCTTGGTTCCTATCCCAAGGGCCAGTGTTGGGGGTGTCATGTCGGGAAACCGTTTCGACAGAGGCCTCCCTTACTGGCTGGGGCGCGGTCATGGACGGCCGCTTTGCCAGGGGTCTGTGGCAGCACCATCATCGCACTTGGCATATAAATTGCCTGGAGATGATGGCTGTGTTCAGGGCTTTGAGGAGCTTCCTTCCAGACATTAAGGGTCACCACGTCTTAATACGGACAGACAATACGTCAGTGGTGGCCTCTGTGCAAACTGGCGCATCAAATTATCCTTTCTTTTAGCGATTACCTCTCTTAAGAGGGTGGGAGATCTCCAGGCCCTGGCGGTAACGCCAGCTTGCTTGGAGTTTGCCCCTGGCAGAGTAAATGCTTTTTTGCACCCGAGTCCAGGCTACGTGCCTAAAGTTCCTTCGAATACGGCTCGCTCTATAGTCCTTCAGGCATTCCATCCTCCACTTCATGTGTCGGCGGAAGAAGAGAGGCTTCAATTGCTCTGCCCCATCAGAGCTTTGAGTATATACCTGGAAAGGTCCGCTTCTTGGAGAGGATCGGACCAGTTGTTAGTATGCTTTGGGTCACCTAAGGGGGGGCTCCCGGCGACCAAACAGACTATAAGTAACTGGATTGTCCAGGCTATTACTGAGGCTTACATTTCAAGCTCTTTTTTCTTCTTCTTTTTTTTTTAAAACTCGACTGTCAGGTGTGGTGATGGTGAAAAGAGCGATGACTCGATGCAGACTTGCTTTATTTTATTGATAAAAAACAAACAAGGGGAATAAATTGGGAGCCAAAAAAGTCAGGTAACGAGGGAGTACAGGTGGGGCAAAATAACTAATTATCAGGAAACAAGATGGGAGTCGACACAATGACAGGAAAGCACATATGGCACAACAAACACATGACAAGCACAAGCCATGTGCTCATACCAAACATGACAAAAACACATGACCAATAAAACAAATTAAAAAGCAATTGTGCTCACACAAAATGAGACCTGAAGAACGATGAGAACACTCATAAGACGTGTTCACACAGAACATGACAACAGCACACAGCTAGTGTAAAACACAAGCTGTGTGCTATACAGCAAAAGACAAAACATGACATGAAAGCACGTGGCCGATGTAAACACAAAACATGTGCTACACATTACACAACACTGAACAGAGCGAACATGACAATACAGAACGCTAACGTTACGCATGAGTTCGATCATAAGGTCATCCTGTGCACTCACAACCGAAAACAAACACGTGGAAAATGCATGTCCGAATCCCAACACAAAAGTGAAACCAAACTAGATGTGCCGTGATTCAAACACCACGCCCGCAAATGTAACAAGACACCTGGCATCGACGGAAGAAATGTGGGAATTAGGTTGAACTGTGAAATATCTGATGAAACTAATACTAATAATCAAATCAAATCAAATACTAAGAAATATGTTACAGCAGTTTTCGAGTAAAATACACACAAAATCCGCGACGAGACTGCGCTCGAAGTCTTTAAACTAGCTTCCGCGTCAGCGTTTTTTTTATTGGGTGAAATCGCTGTCAATCAAAAGGAGATGCAATCCTCCAATCATCACGCGGACGCCCGGACGCCAGGCCAGCCCATTTCCCTATTCACCCCAGAGACACCCGGCGTCCGTGGGCGGGACATAATCGCAGCATTTATCCAATGACCGTCTAGTTTAACAGCACTGAAAAAAACTGTTCAAAGCAGCCCCATTGAAGTCAATGGACGCCGAGCTTCAACGGGGAAATGCCATAGGAAAATGCATGCACTGTGACGCGCTACAGGTATGCATGAGAAGGAGATCAAGTCAGCCGACCTGCTATTTGTATTCTGAACGAACTCGTCTTCGAGATTACCGTGTTCTAACGCATTTTTACTCAATAAAATGTTAACACAATAGTACACATTTGACCATTATTTTTTTTGACATTATGAAAAAAATAACGTTGGCAGTCACTAGACCTCACCTTGGCTACGGCAGTTCATTGGAACGAATGCGTCAATAGAGCCGCCATCTTGAAACAGGGGAGCCCCTCCACTTTAATGCCCCAGACAGCAAACTGACATTGAATCAACGTGGAAACGACGTCTCTCATGACATTGAAGCAACGTTGATTTTGCTCATCGAATTAACGTTGAACCAACGTCAGACGCGGCATTCTTCAAAGCTAAATGAAAATCGAAAATTGGTTTGCTTTCATAACGTTGAAACAACGCGTTGATTTCAAGTTGATTTTCCGTTAGTTTTGAAAGAATGACGCGTCTGACGTTGGTTCAACGTTAATTCGATGAGCAAAACAATGTCAGATCAACGTTGTTTCGATGTCATATTTCCACGTTGATTCAATGTCAGTTTGCTATCTGGGGCATCAGCGTCAATGTAGTAGACACAGGTCTAACGGAAATAAAATCACCATAAATCATCATGAATGCAATTTTTCTTGTTTTTTTGGTTTGTTCCAACGGTCAGACATGTATTTATCATTGATTCCAAAAAGGAAATTTTTTTTTTTTTTTTAAAACATTCTTCCTAGTTCAGATTTCATCCGTGAACATCATACGCTGCACAAAAGTCCGCCACCATCAATGAATTCGGCGTAAAGGCAAAGATAGCAGCGTTACCTAGCTACTTCCTATGACAAGACCCCTGTTCCAAGATGGCGGCGGTTTTAACGCATGCTTAGAGCCCCAAGATGAAGTCTAGTGTATATGTCTATGTGGGCTAATCAGCTGCTACTGTCATGGCAACTGACAGCAAGCGAACCAGCACGGTGTGTCAGTGAAATCGTCCCGGGGGGAAACACACTCCCTGCGGAAATTGGTTCCGCTGGATTTGTCACCTTGTGACATACACAATCAGCTGAGGACGGAAGAATTTACGTTGGATTCTTCTCATCTCTGGAGTCTCATCACCACTTCGCTGCACTCTCTTCACCAAGTTCATCTGGCCATCGGGGTCTCTGCGCCACTAACCTGTCTTCTCTAGACTCTGAAAGAGTTTCACTTGCACTTTGCTTCCTTCTCTCATTCCTGACAGAAAGAAAGAAAGAAAGAAAGAAAGAAAGGTTGATTAGATAGATAGATAGATAGATTAGTTAGTAAAGAAAGAAAGAAAGAAAGAAAGATGTATTAGTTGGAAAGAAAGATAGATTACTTGGATAGATAGATAGTTAGATAGATAGATAGATAGATAGATAGATAGATAGATAGATAGATAGATAGATAGATAGATAGATAGAAAGATTAGTTGGAAAGAAAAATAGATTAGAAAGAAAGATATATATATATATATATATAGATAGATAGATAGATAGATAGATAGATAGATTATTTAGTTAGTTAATTAAATAGATAGATAGATAGACAGATAGATAGATAGATAGAAAGATTAGTTAGAAAGAAAGAAAGAAATCCCTTTTTAAATAAATATTTTTTCAAGACTTAATTTTACATTTGCATCTGAAGTAGGATAAATGTATCTGTATTGTAATATATTTGTAGATTTAAGATTTTATGCTCTGATTTAAGACCTTTTTAAGGCCTTAATTTGTGCAAAGGTGAATTAAGACTTTTTTTAAGACCCGGAGAAACTGTCATGTTTAGAGAAAACAGTCATGTTTAGATCCAAAACAGTTGAGGCGGGGACTTTTAATATGTTGTCAGACCATACTAGTACATTGATCGATTTCTCCTCAAATCGAGCCAAGCACGGTTAATTGATGCAGAAAAATGGATCTGCTGTGTCTGCTCATACCGTCTTTCTTTCTTTTGCTGAATGGGCTTGAATTTTGTCTTTCTGATAACGGTGAGAACTTGAAGAATTTTGATTTGATGCTGACAATTATCTATCTTTTGGGCGGTCGTTTTTTAATTTGTGAATCTTCATACTCACGTTAAGAAACGTTTAGGATCTGAGATATCTTAGCATTAGCGTCTTTGTAAGGTTAGACCCAGCAAATCTGTTAATGTTTTTTGATATTCTCTTTTTTGAAAATGCTGCATTTCTTGTTTTAGTTGTGAACGGTCTGTGTCTTTAGGCTAAATATTTAATGAACAGAGTGTGTACAAACCTTATCACTGTGTGAACCAAGTTTTAAATCTCGAGACAAGTCTGAGATTTCTTTCTTTCTTTCTTTCTTTCTTTCTTTCTTTCTTTCTTTCTTTCTTTCTTTCTTTCTTTCTTTCTTTCTTTCTTTCAGAAAAACGTTGGCAGTCATTCTTCAGGTGGATCACAGAAGCCACAAATAATTACCAGCCATGCAGTCAGGAGAACTGCAGCTGTCATCTGAGGTCATCAAATATAAAGAGTATTTTAATCTCAATCGATTATCTATGTACATGCAGCTGTACAGGTTGAAAGACTGTATAATGTAGACTTTCCTCCATCATGCTTTTGATTGCAGTGTCATGGAAGATGACCTTAGGCCATTTAAAAATGGCATATCTGAGAGGCTCATGGCAGACACAGTCCAAAGAGGTGTTGGTACGCACTACCAGATAATAGGTAACCAGCTGTACAGAGAACAAAGCTGCATGTTTCCAGCAAGGTTGGTGAAGTGTTTTTTTTTTTTGTAAAATCATGATCCTGTCATGTGCAAATAGGTGTTGAATTTCAGACAATTATTCTTTCTTTGCAGATGCAGCGGTGTTGAGCACTTTATCCTAAAAGTGATTGACAGGTTGCCAGATTTGGAGGTGGTGATTAATGTGCGTGACTATCCACAGGTTCCTGGATGGGTTCAGCCAGCCTTGCCTGTACTTTCCTTTAGTAAGGTATGTACCCTGGCCTGTAGCCCAACAAAGTGCATAAGAACAATCTACTTAAATTGATTTTATGGTATATCATTAGCTTAACTAAATTAAGGCATTTACTTGCATTACTTGTGACTCCGCCTTTAGATTATTAACACTGAAACACCCCTGATAAAACACTGTGCGGTGTATATTTTCACAACACTGTCATAAAAAAACTCACCTGCGGCAACTTCCTCCCGCTTTTTACTACTGCTCATTTAAATTTGTTATTATCAGAGCCGGCCAACTTTATCGTGTGGAGCTAATGTCTATCGAGTGGGTAATACATCATACACAGTATCATAGAATTATGTCGAATTGCCATAAAGCAGTTTGTGTTTCTCGCTTGTTCTCGCTTCTCACAAGACTTTTATTTCCAACTTGCTGGGATGTTAGTCCCCATGTTGCAAGGTTGGTTTTCTGCCTGGAGATGCTGGGGGGAGTGGGGAAAGTCACCATTCTCTCCACAACAGGTTATGGGCTCTATGCACGGCGGTATTTCCGGTGAAGGATTAAGGATGCTCGATAACCATTTTCTTAATCAAACCCACGAATATTCATTTTAGTTGTTTGAACTTGTCTCTGTCATCATTGTCATTGCTATCTTTACTGCTACTGTTATGATTGCTAGTTTCACTTTTATTTTTTTTGTTGTTTCACTGTTGTAATTGCTGTTGCTGTATTTTGCTCTCACCATTGTGATCACCACTGCCATCACCATTGTCATTTATTATTAATATTATTATTATAATTATTATTATTATTATTATCATCAATATTGCCGTTGTCAATGCTGTATTAGAATTAAGTGTCATTGTCTTCACTAATGCAATAACTTCCCCCCTTATCTCTTTATGGGTTTTTAATGCACCACAACATAGAATAGGGAAATAAAAAAAAAAGGAAGGAATAAGTATATATGGAAACGTCTCACAAATACCAAGGCAGGCAAGACAGGCGAGAAGTGGTTTCAATGGGACAGCATCTCTGTCCCAATTTGAGACACTCTCGCACTGTACTCCCTATTTTAATGCACCTTAGACATTGCACATAACACACACAAAAAAAAAAGAAAAAAAAGAGGAAAAGATAGGGACTGATGAGATGTGGGGGAAGGCTATCTTATATTATATTATCTTATATATTATATTATCTTATTATATCATATTTTATTTTATGCAGGATTGACAATGGCAATTGTTACATAGGAGGAAGGATGGAAATAAAAATCTACCAACACAATATGGGCACTATGATGGTAGTGGGGAGTGGGATGGTGATTGTAATGACAATGGTAATAAATAATAAATGGTTACTTTGTTTACGCATACCCACACACACACATACCCACACTCACACCTGCTCACATTCACACTTAGATCAAACACTTAAATCACTCTTGTCACTGCTGGAATTATGGATTTACAAGATTGCTCACTACTGCACTATGTTGGTTTGTTTGTATGTATGTCTGACTGTTAAATAAAAAAAAAATAAAAAAAAAGGATGCTCGATAACTTCCGCCGATCGTAGAGTCCAATGCAATACCGAGAATTTATATTGAATTTTATACTCCATGGTTATAATAAAGAAACGTTAGTCACAAAAACGACACCCCTCGTTGTGTTTATGCTTCTTTTTTGAAATTATATTAAATAAACATAACTATATATAAAATTACATCTAAACGTATGTACGTTTCGTTTCAAAGACGGGAGGACAGTAAATTTTGAAGACTCTGCCATAATCCCGTTTTCCTCGGTTCTCCTCCTCTTTATTCTCCACAACCGGAAATGGACGAGCATCCTTGCGTCAAATGCGGAACTTATGCGTGCATATAGCTCATTGAACCATTCAAATGATTACTAAATGGTTTTATTAAAGCTACACTGTGTAACTTATTTAGTTCATTCTTAGCTAAAAACACTTAGTTCTTTCAAAAATATATGTGTTCATTAATGTATATTTACTTCGTTCAAGTAATAAAGTATTCTCGTGAGTGTATAATATGCCATTGAAAATGCATACATTAGCAACAAAGGGACATACCCGTTAATTCAAGCTTCGCCTTTCGCGTGGCACCGTGTCAAATGTGAGGAGGGGGATTGCTTGAGACTAATACCATATTTTCCGCACTATAAGGCGCACTTAAAAGCCTTTAATCTTCTGAAAAAACGACAGTGCGCCTTATAATCCGGAGCACCTTATATATGGATCAATTAGTTAACAACGCTCCGCGTTATTAAATTCGCTTTGTCACACGGCCAGTTCAACCTCGTATAAATCAGGTTATGTGTGTCTCCCGCTCACGAGGGCTCACACTTAACAGACACCCAAACAGACACGCTGTCCCCGGCGCTGCTCGCGCGTCACAGAATGTTCATAAAGCGCTCCCCATTCACAGTAACTGGGTCGTCTCATTCAAAACAGCCAACTGTTGCTGTCAGCGAGCCGCCGCACATTGAATACTCAGGATATGACATCAAATATACATTTCGAATTAATAATTGTTCCTAGATTAACAAAACCTGCGGCGCTCGTTAACTGAAATCCTATTGTAAACATAATCCTCTGATCATTCGGACTTGTTATTTCCAGCCATTTCGGCGCGTGACATACGTCACTCACGACACCCCGTTAGCGATTGGCTATGGCAGATCGTGAGTGACTTTGGGCAGATCCAATAGATTTGAATAGTAAACCCGCCTACAAGAAAGGAAACGTTTCTCAATGGAGCGGTTCCAGACTCTATGTGGAAATGAAATGAACTAGAGTCTGGTTGAACCAGGCTAGGGGTATGCTCCCCCGTAAGAAAATTATATTCCATATTTTAAAGCATAAATCTGATGAATTTTGAGATGCATTTTTTGCCAACCTGGGGAGAGCTGGAGAAACTTAACTTCAGCCATGAGTCAAAAATATTATTGCCTCCGTAGCTTTAGCTAATAATAATAATAATAAAAATAAAAAAGACCGATACCTATCCGTTACCAACGCAGTTTAAAAAAAATCAAGTAGAATTTCTGTTTGTTGAACTGATAATCACTCTTTTGTGTGTTAAACACAATCTACTTAATACAGACAACGTCCTTATAAAGAAAAAAAAAATGATCATAACCTATGACAAAAATTATATTATAAACTAGATTAGTGGGTAACTAATTTTAAATTTAATAATTTTATAAAATCAGAACATTTAGTGGAAACAATTAATAGTGGGGAACAAATAAGAGACGATAAGTGTAGCAATAAATCTGGTAAAACATTGCTCTTTGTATTGTTGTAAAATACATTCATGAAAAACAAGACAAAAATCAAAAAGATCAATTATTTTATAGTCTACTATAAAATTAACAATATATATATATACAGTATATATATAGCACAAATGTATAGCACAGCTGTTTAATGAGGCAGCAACATATGATAGATAGGACAGATCAGAACAAAAAAATATTATTAAATAATCTTTCATTTCGCAAAAGTATTATGATATGATTATGAAAGACCCCAATAGAGCAATAGAGTGCTGCACACAGCGCTTATGCGCATCCCGACCGCTGAATGATGCGCTTGAGGCAACATGAGTCACAACTCGCAGCTCTGTTTAGACCAAGGGGGTTATCCATCGACCGGAAGTTGAAGCCTCGCGGGAGCTGACATCTTGTATCAGAACTTCACTTGCGTTAGCATTCCCATTGACTCCCATTCATTTTGGCGTCACTTTGACAGCGAATAACTTTACATCTGAGGCGTTTGAAGACCCCATTTGTCCTTTATTTATTTCTAAAGAAACACGACAGTGTATAAATAGCTCCATTACCTTGTAGCTTATGTTATGGTCCCGTAGAAGCAGTTTTAGTGAAAGTAGGCTAACGATTGCGTCATACCCACGCGACTCTCTGTCGCACAGGAGAGAGATTACCGTATGTACAGGAGGAGAAGCTCACGCTCATTCGGGGAAACGTGGGGCAAAATGAAAAAATAATTAATCAGAATACCTAGCAAAAGTGTCTCCTGCTCCTAGCTCATGGACAGCTCCTACTCACACTCTCCGCCTCTGCATGTTTCGGAAGGGAATGATTCAGATTTCTCATGCCACAGCACTAGAAGACAGACGGGTTGCTCTCATCACATTACGTAGTCAAGCTCTGTTTGAGTCTGCGCGTCAGGGACGGAAGTGCTAAAAAATCGCCAAAAACGGGCTGCAATCGTTTCAATGGAGTTCCAATGAGATGGCTCTGTCCATTTCTTTTACTGTCTATGGTTTAGACTAAGGGGCCATTTACACCTGGCCACTTCATGCGTTTTCTGTGATCGGATAGCTATCCGATCGTGAAAAGACCAGGTGTAAATGCCCCCTGAAACGCATTCGAGACAGATTTGAATCCGATCGCTCAAACCACTTCAGGAGGTGGTCACTTCAGGAGTGATTCCAGACGAAACTGGACAAGTGTAAATGCGTCTGGTTCTTGAAACCACATTTGTAAATTTTCCTCCTCCCAAAAATCCTAAAAATTAAACACGTGAGAGCGAGTTACAGGCTATATATCATGCTATTTTAGTCAGATATGACGACGCTACTGCGACGCGCATCACCTCAGATGAGCAGCTGAACGCCTATCAAGCCAACGCGCCGCAATCTATCGCAAATCAAAGTGAAAGTAAGTCACAGACGATTAACACTACCATCTTCATTAAAAGTAAAGAAACGAAATTATCTTACCAGTTCTGTTGCCGCTCTCTCTTATCACCGTCTCTGCTGATTTTGAAATTAGCCGATGATCAATAAAATGCAGCTCATATCTGTTGCTTTCGGTGACGTGCACTTCATTAACCACATACTGTATAGCGCGGGAATTGAAGGGGAATCGGATTTATATCTGTTTTGCACAAACACATTTATGTGACCAGGTTTAAATGGAATCGTTTTGATAAATCAGATAGCTAACGTTATCCGACCTGAGAAAACGCATGAA